ACATACATATATATATATATATATACAAAAAATTTAGTCTTTTAAGGTAAGTCCTGAGTCCCTTGTAATTGGTTAAGCTATGTTTTTTACATACCCCAAAAGTATCAGTATTTGTCTTCCCGTTTCAGTCTTCACACAGAAGGCACACCATCTATATTTATGGCTTTGGCATGTTTCCAGGCTATGGCAGTGATGGATGTGTTCGGGGGGTTAGATAAAGATATTGAAGGATCTAGCAAGAGGTGGAAGAAGTGGGTGAACTCAGAATGTCCAGAAAAGGAAAAGCTCCCACAGGAATGGATAAACAAAAGCTCTCTTCAGAAACTAATCGTACTGAGGGCTCTCCGTCCGGACAGAATGACGTACGCTCTTAGGTTTGAAATCTGAGCGTACATCTTTCAGGGCAAGTGTGTGTGAGGGTGGTTTGTATGTGTCAGCGTGGAGAAAACTCGGATCTTAAGAGGCAGGCAAATAACTTATGAACTAGGTGGTCAACCAGAATTTGAAATCAATGACTGTGGCCCTTCCCAGCCTGTTCTGCTGGTGGAGAGTTTATGAAGAGGTAGTGTGGTGAGACATGAGTCATGGCATATTTGGAGAGCTATGTTTGTGGTTTCTTTTAGATTGCGTATAGATACCCTGACAAGAGTGCTCATTAATAAATGGAAATATAGTAAGCTATGCTGCTAATAGCTAGAAGAGTATTTCTCAGTGTTAGTTCTCATTATGGTATTAGGGCTGGTAGCTAATCCCATGGGATGACAATTTTTCAGATCTCCCTTCTTTAAAATTCTGTGATACCAGGAAAGATTCAGTTGTGGATACTTACTGATCTTCTCCCAGCTGTTTTCCAGTTGTACTGTTTTAATCTTTTGATCCCAAGTGATGGTCTCATAGACCTGATCCTCCACACCCCACCAACACAGCTTTTACCCATTTACATGCCTTCTGAGAATGCAGTTTTTGTGTCCTGGGTGTTTATTCTGCCCAGCTGCCCTGGGTTTATGTGACAGTATTGCCTGTATATAATGACTTCTTGGATTCAGTTATTGAAGAGGTCCTTTTCATTCAAAAGTTGCTGGCTTCTGTCATGTGGCCCCTATCCCACAGAGAGATGGGAACGATCGTCTTCTGTCTTGCTTCACCACCTGCCTCCCCTTCTTGCCTTCAGTTCACTCCCCTGACAATTTCTTTGATGAAGCTGTCAGCCACTCAAGTCTGAGAATGGTGCAGGCTTGAAGGCTGTGTTAGGGAACGTTTTTGGTGCTTAGTGCATGTTTTTTCGTATGTATAGGAACTTTGTGGAGGAAAAGATTGGCTCAAAATATGTGGAAAGCACAAGGATAGACTTAGCAAATTCCCGTGAAGAGAGCAGTCCAGCCACTCCTGTGTTTTTCATTCTGTCTCCAGGAGTAGACCCACTTGAACATCTTGAGACACTAGGTAAGCCTCTTATTTGCTTCTGGTGCACGGATCATTCAACTGTGCTCCCACTAAAGACAGAAAAATTGAGCTCAAAAGTGAAATGGAGCATGCGGGGCTATAAGCGTAGATAAATCGATAAACAGTTATATGCTTGTGTGCATGTGCCTGTACACACCTACGTGTGTGGGTGTATTTTTACTACACAGAACAAAACCTTCTGGAATCATCTGTCACTACAATGGAGTATACATTACTATGGGAAAGTTGGACAAGGTTTATTTTCAGCAGAAGATTCAAGTTCTAAAGTTTCTTCCACCCCCACCATATTCATGGTAAATGGGGTGGATGAAAAGTGTAAGGCCATAAGCACTACAGTATGAAGAAATTTTTAGATCGAGCATTCCTCTGCTTGGCATAATGCAGGTTTCCTTTGTACTGTTTTCTACCTTTTGACTAGATGAGGGCCAGAGGGCAATTTTCTCCATGCTCATGTAATCTTGTGCCCCCTGTGACTAAATAATGGTCATTATACAAACTATATTCAATTGTATAGGGCTCTGTGGCTTTATACTTAGGATTACGATTCCCCACAGACAATAGTGAGAATACCAGGTTAATACAGCTGTGACCTCACTGTGCTCAATTTAAACTCAGGCCTCACAAGGTGAGAGGCTTGTGCATTTACCCACTGAACCAATCAGTTAAAAAACTGATGTGATATCTACCACATGTTGCTCCCTTTTTCATAAGGGAATTGCTCTGTACCCCCTGTAAGAGTTTCTAAAGCTCAGTAACAATGCCGAGCATCTATCAAAATGTCAAAAGGTTCATTATCTTAAAACCAAGGGAACAGATTTCTGCAGGCTTTTTCTAATACCAGCAATAAGGCCACTGTTGAGAGCTCGCAATTTTGCTTGTTGAAATTGTAAGGGTTTAGTGAAGTGCTTCGGAAGAAGTAATATGCACTGCACAAGTGATAGTGAAATTAATGGGGGCATTATCATTCTTTTTCCTTTCTGCTCTGCTAATTTTCCTATCTCCTCCCCGCCCCCCGTCACTCACCCTTCCCCAATTATTTCTTTCACAGGCAAAAAGCTTGGGTTCACTATAGACTCTGGAAGATTTCATAACATCTCTTTAGGACAAGGGCAGGAGATGGTGGCAGAGGAGGCACTCGAGAAGGCTACCAGACATGGCCATTGGGTTCTTCTCCAAGTGAGTGTCAAGCAGCCCTTCTGGTGGGGACTGTCTCCTCAGTTGGAGGGATATTCCCAGAATACAGACAAAATACATGGTAGATTACAGCAAAAGTTTTAAACAGCTGATAATCTTGTTCCTTTTTGCTTTTGCTTTTGGTTGTAAGAGGATAAACATCATATTAATAGAGTGTATGTCATGTTTTTCTGAACACTGTCCTCACCCTCCCAGAAGGAACAGGAGAGATAAAACAGAAAGCCTCTGGTGGGTAGGTAGGACTGCCCTCAGGAGTACACTTCCCCGGACTAATTAAGAGCTCCTGTTCTGTTCAGTGGGCCATAATGGAGACTTTAATAACACGGGTCTGACTCCGCCTTGGGAAGCTGTATCATTAGTTTCCGAGATAGTAGCCGTTGCTTTGGCCAGTGTTGTATGGACCGAGAACCCACTCTGCAGCGGGCAAAAAGATCTGTGCAATACCCTGGCGAGCTGCGGTTCCCGGCGCAATGACGGAGTCGACAGGAGCACCACCATTGTTAATGCTACTGAAAGAAGGTGCTTCCCTCCCACTGTTTTATGCTAAATAGCCGATGGATATTTGTAACGATCCCTTTGCCCTGAAGCCAAACAAGACATGCATGTTCCAGGCCTTGATATTAAGGAGGTCATGGGGACCAGATGATTCCCTCCTCTTCTGGTTTTAACCTCCGCAACATACACATTTGGCTGTCAACCAGGTTGCCTGCAAGAAATGAAGAGAAGGGCTAGACTCAGTGTTGCCTGCCGGCTGAGATAAAGTCACCGTGAGATTAGTGAGGGCCCTTGGTGTGCTAGGCACTGTGCAAACACGCACAAACTGACCCCTTCGTCGACACTGAAACTGGAAGAGTTCTTTGGCCAGGTTTCGCACAAGTAAGCTAGTCGCACTAGTCTGAAAATAACCCTGCTTTTCTGCTAGTGAGTGTGGAAATGTTGTTGTGAAGGAAAGAGCGGAGTTGGTTTTCAGGGGAATTTTGGTGATCCGAGTCGCTCTGAGGACAGGGCAAGAAAACGGGAGATGGCAGAGGCCCCAAATCAGCAGTGTTGTGTGTCTGAAGCCACAGGGATAAATGGGGAACATCTGAGAGGCTTCTGGTGTTACTGGACCTGCTCCATTTTCCAGCCCGTTATGCCTGGCTTCTGAGGGAGGAGGGAGGTGACAATTTTGCTGTGAAGAGTTTTGATAGTGAAGGGTTGGGGAAAGTCCGAAAGGAGAATGAATAAAGATTTTGGACCAAATCTGAAATGATGCTAAGCCAGCTAGAGCTAGTGGGATTTGGATGTACTCAGTGCTTCTCAAGCTTCAGTCTTCTGGGGTTTGGCCCAAATACCTATATGTTTATGTTTAAAAAAAACAATCCTGGAGCAAAAAGGTTAAGTATTTTACTATGCATTTTGTTGAGGCTAGGGGGGGTATAATGCAGAACTCCTGCTGGAGGTGAAGCTGAGGGAAGTCCAGAAGGTGACAGAGCAAGAAGTAGGACAAGTATGTTGTGGAGTAAATAATGCAAGGTCTGAAAAACGGTAGCAAAAACAATTGGCACAGCGTTTGGTACACTGGCAGAAGAAAGACTGAGTTGAAATTTTTTGGTAACAGGTTTAACTCTTGTGTCACTCTTACATTAGTGTCTCAAACTCAGACATCTGATATATCGAAAGGTTATTTTGTTATTATATTAAGGCTTGAATCACTTCCACTTTGCAGTGGATGGATGCAGCCTGTATGAAAATGCCAGGCTGCTATCGGGTAATGTGATATGAAAGTCTCCCTCTCTTTCCACCCCCCTATTCCTTTTTCCACATGTCAAGGGACAATTTGGAAATATCCCCTCAGCAGGTCCCATGATAAAGTGATGTAGCAGCCAGAGCGTGAGTGACATGTCGTCTTCCTTGTCCGGTGTACAGAGTTGCAATTCCTCTTGTGCTGCATGGAGGTGGCAGCCAGTGCAATCAGCAGTTTCTGGCACAGCAGTGAAGAGCCAGAAAGAAGCTGTAGGGCTGAGCTGCAATTTGAGTTGAAATGCTAGTTCTGTAACAAAAAAGTGGAGTGTGGGAGGGGTGAAAGCAGCTGTAGCCCAGCCACATTGTAAACCTTTCTCTTGATATTCCCATATTTCACCAGTAGGTGCTTTGGAAGCAGATACTGTTCCATTATAACTAATTTCTCTGGTCTATCAGTGACTTTCCGCTGTCTTCATATATTAAGAATCTTAAAGACGATTAGGCTCTGAAGTGGTATGAAACATATTTTTTAAGTAGTAGGATAGCTGTAAACATTTTTCTTTGTCTAGCACTTCTTCAGTCTTACTCCTGGTATGCATTGGACATGGTTTGTCTTAGGTCCCAGTTGTGCAGGGAATTTAAGTAGAGTCCAAGTGCTCTGCTGAGTTATGCTTATCTTTACATAGGATAACACCCCCACCCACACCCCCAGATCACTTAACCCTGAGTTTATAATATTTTTGTTAGCTTCAGAATCAAGGCCTGAAACTTGAGGCTAATGGTAAAACCTCTGTTACTGCAACAGATACCGAGAAATGGCACAGTAGCTAAGAATCTTCAGGTTTATTCTTTGTATTATCCATTTATTTAATAATAAAGTGATGCTTTGAATTAAATAACGTAGCTATTTTTTATTATAAAGCCACAATAACAATGTCTTAACGATAACAAATTTATTTGTTTTTTTCACAACAAACATATTGGCTGTTTTGCAACAGAATATTCATCTAGTAGCCAAGAGGCTAGGAGCTTTGGAAGAACTCCTCGAGCAATACAGAGAAGAAAGTCATCCTGATTTCCGTGTCTTTATTAGTGCTGAACTAGCTCCAACCCCAGAAGAGCACATCATTCCTCAAGGAATATTGGAACACTCGATTAAAGTTACCAGTGAATCTCCTACAGGGATGCTGGCTAATTTACATGCTGCACTCTACAATTTTGACCAGGTAAAAGCAAGATGTACTTTTTTTTTATTAATTTGTTTTAATTCCTCCTTCCCCCGTGGGGAGAAGTGGTAACGCTGATGACTGCTTTGTAGGAGAGCAGAACTTAGGGATCTTTGTGCTTCCAAACTAACCTGACAGCTGCAGGATGCCAACCCTCCATGCCCTGCGTTGCCTCCATGTTTTCTGTCAGGAGGAAACACGTGACAATAATGTGTACACTTGTATTATTAAATATCTAGATATAGAATTGCATAGGTATGCTCACAAAGATAGACAGAAGCTTTACCCATCTGCGCAGTCTTACTAAAAAAACCTATCCATGCTCTAAAGTCAGAGCCCTTCCATTCAATGGTACTCGCTAACTTTGCTCAGCTCTAAAGTTGGTTTGACCATGTCCATTCTCCTAAAGAGTGTATTTATGCACCCAGATGTTCAGGCAATGGCTCACTACCCTGTGTATGAATTCCTGTAGTTAGGCATAAGAAAGGAATTCATGGGCAAGGGTTACGCACCGTTTGTTGTTTTGTCTTTTGCTTTTTCCCTGCGTGAGGTTCTGCGGACCTGCTTGGTGCGTGGGAAGAAGAAGTAGGAGAAAGACGTGCGAATGTGGAGGACAGGGCTGTCACTGGGCATGCATAGCCTCCTTCCCTCTGGATCCTTGGTTATCCCGGTCTGTTACCCTGAGGAACTTGTAGACAGATCTTCGAGCTCGGTGCAAGTCAACTTCCCCGCAGCTGTGAAAGCACTGGAGCAGCACGCTTATTCGTGTCAGCAAAGCAGACCATGATAAAGGCAACCGTAACTGTACACCTTAGCCTTCCAGCAATCTATTAGCATGTATTTAATTGAGCACAGGACACATGAAAGTGAGAGTTTCTTTTAAAGGGAACTCTGCTAACCAATGCCTAGAAAAAAAGAGCTGTGCACTTAAAGAGCCGTGTCAAAGCTACCTTGGCTACAAATGGATTGATTTTGATGGTATGGGGTGGTTCGGGAAGATGCTTGTGTGAAAGGAAAAATGGCTCTGGTTTTATAGCTAAACAGACAACTATTAATGCAGCAATTTTTTTTCCTTTTTTTATAACTTATTATAATAATATTTTTAATGGAAAGCTGAAAAAGCTAGACAAAGTTTTTAAGAAAGGTAATTCATATGCATTGTTGTCCCACTTCAGGCTCAAGAAATATATATATATGTATGTATTTTAATTAGCTAATTTCTAAGCTTGATACTTTAGAAAACTCTCTTTTCTCTCCCATTATTTTGAGCCATGGGTGTTTGCAGCTTACTACAAAGTCCTGTGCAGACACTGTCTTTAATATGTTTCTGGTTAAGGTATTTTAATTAAAAAAAAAAAAAAAAATTGTTGTCAGAAAATCAAACTATGCCTAATCCAGGTGGAATAAATTTCATGGTTTGTGGTTTTCTTCAGGATAGAAGCTTGCGTTGTATTTTTCATGGTTAAACTCAGGATTCCAACTTAAGGAAGATTTTTTGTCAGACATAAAATACTTCACCTTTGCTCAGACTTTGCTATCTGTTGTTCAGTTCAGGATGACCTATTTCCTTCTGACAGCCAAGAGTTTATCCCTCTGAAGTTTATTCCACACATCTATCTTTTTATGGGTATCAAAAGTAATTTTGTTATGTCAATTACTTCTTAAACTAAAAGATAGACTATAGAAAACTGTCAGAGAACTAAGAATTAATTTCTGCAGGTTTTATAGGAAAATACCAAATAGTTTGTCTCAGTAATTTAAAAACCGGCTGAAACCCTGCGCAGAATCTCATCTTGCCGAGATTCTCTACTAACACTATAAACAAAGGAGGAAAAAAAACAAAAAAAAGATTAAGCTTCAATTTCAAACATGACTCTTTGGGAAACAGTGTAAAAATTGAAGGAATAGTACGCTTTTTAATAAATGTTAAACTGGCAAATTTTCTACTTGGGATAAAATCTATGGATGATTTATGCTAAGAAACTATAGTGGTTATCTGAGTAATATTTATACAGTTCTAGTTAAAGTCTCTATTTTTATTGGTTTCAGTAGCACAAGAGTTCTCTTTCCTAAGGGAGATTTTGAAATAGAAAGGTAACCATCAACACTTTTGCTTCTGGGAATTACTGCAAAAAATACTACCTAAGAGTCACTCATCACTAAGAAACCTCTTTCTCTCTCTCCTTCAACCTTCAGGCTGGTGAGTGCTCCCTTTCAGCAGCTGAGGCAGGCACAGCTATCGGTAACACTGCCGGTCGTTAACTGGATAAACGTATTCCTTTCTTCTTTGACAGTATACCCTTGAACAGTGTACCAGAGAAGGGGAATTTAAAAGCATCCTTTTTTCTCTGTGCTATTTTCACACTTGCGTTGCTGGGAGACTGAAGTTTGGCCCTCAGGGCTGGAATGGAAGGTGCCCGTTCAGTGCTAGAGATCTCGCCGACTGCATCACTGTCCTCTGCCGCTGCTTGGAGACCCATGCGAAGGTAAGAGGGGGTGGTCAGGTAACCACGCACCAAGGTCATTTCAACTCGTTCAGTACAAACAGCTGATGAAGGGGGACACAATCTTTCTCTGAAGCTGTTATTTAAGTAGCTGGCATTATATGATGCTGTTGCTGAGTATGAAAATAAAACAGATCAAAGGCGGGGGGGGGGGCTGTGGGTTTTTTCCTGGCAATGGGTGCTTGAACTCTGTAATATAGGTCAAACCAGTTCCACATCAGTAGCTAAGGGGGAAAAAAATGCCCTTCATTATGTTAACAAAAACAGTGGTTTACATGTGCATATATGCCAAATTCATTAGGCAGGTAATGAAGCATTTGCACAAATGTAATTACATACAGCAATTCTGACAGTTCATAACACTGCATTAATAATCACTACAATTAGTTCTGATGATGGAAGCAATTTACAGCACGTCACATGTATAAATAATGGTGCATTTCCTGCATGTGTCATTATTATGTATTAAGGATGCCACCTTGTTGTGACTTTCTCAGTAATGTTCCCCTTGAGTCAAAGTTAAGGGTAGATGAGTGATTTTATTTCTGAGCTACAGCATATTTCACACTTGTATAGTTTAAATACTCAGTTGAGGTCATTTGTGTAAGTTCTGTGTATGAAAAGCCTAAATAAAAGCAATAATTATTTATTACCGAATGACATAGGATAGTACTGAATAGGTCCTTCCATTTTAGTAATTTAAAGAAATTTAAGAGATATTTATAAAGAAAAAAAAAGAGGGAAATGTCACCCTTTGATGATATGGTTTTCTCCGTATCTTCCAACTTTTGTATTTACTCTTAGAAATTAGTTTTCCTTTTTTCTTTTTACCCCTACTGACCTTTATTTAGCTAATAGGACCTGAAACTATTTTTCCTTTCTGTGGTACTTGGTGTCATAGTGAAATAATTGCTTAATTTTATAGTGATGATTTAATAATGCTTCCCATTTAGAAAACAAGTCTATAAAATCAGCTTATTGCAACCCTTAGTTTTCTTTGCTAATAAATCTTGCTGCTTTAAGCTCTGTTCTTTTCAAACCACAATTCATAAGCTGGATAATTAATTTTGCTAATTAATGAGAGGGAGGATTCTGATGGCAGGGAGGACTAGAAAGGTCTGTAAGAGCGAGAATTATTTCTTCTCTCCTCTTGGTAATATTGCTTATTGGCCCTTCTCATTGTATTGGTTAGTGATTCATTACCCTGTGGCTTTATAAGCATTTTTTTAACATAGATATTGGAGAGAGAAAGATATGATAGTTTTTTAAAACGTGACTTTTTATGTATATCTACGTGTATATGACTGGCGGGGGGGAGAAGAGAGAGAGAGAGAGAGATACACAGTTTCCCAACTGAGTATCCTTTGGGGACAATTTTGTTTAAGACAATTAGGGATTGACCAGAAAGCATAAACTGGAAAACTTGAGCTATCCCATCAGCTAGTAGAAATTGCCCTAACGTCATCATCACTTGCACCAGTTTGTGGTGCTTCCCTGTGAATATTTGATCTTCTTGCATCTCAGTTTGACTTAACCCACTGTCCTGTTGCTAAGACAAACTCCACCACACTAACCTCTGGTAGTGAAGGTCTCCTCAGGTGAAGTGCAGGATGCCTGATCCTGCCTCATTGTCCCGTTCTTCCCCTCCGCCTTCTGATCCCCATACGCATGTTCATGGAGTTGTCGTTCAATGATGCGAGGGGGATGTGGACTCCAGCCTCGCCATATCCATCCACTGAGCAATGGCTCAGTGTTTTTTTGAGTACAACAGACCAGTTTTCTATAGAGTACAATGGCAATTATGCAAACCTGGCAGCCCAAAATATTTCTAATGCAAACCCCTCAGTTTTCTCACACTAGCAAGCTTTGATTGTCCCAGTGTAATCAATGTCCCCAGAAGTGTGCAGCTCAATGAGCTCGTACTCTTAGAATACTGATATACTCTTCTAAAAGACAAAGGAAAAAGCCATTTCTTGAGATAAATATATGTGAAATTAGAAAGACATTAAATGTGTTTCTGTTGCCAACAAAGAGAAAAGCAGGTTTATTCTAACTGCAAGAATATTTCATTCTAAATCCAAGTTGTTGGCATTTTTCACAGGGATTCTCTGTTCAGGCTTCTCATCACCAGCATGCAGCATTGCATATTATATTCCAGTGGCCTTTTTTTTTTACCTTCTTTTTTCATTCTCTTCAAACCAAATTTAAAAGAAAGATGGATTAGAGTTTCACATATTCAAATTGAAATAAACTTGTAGCAAGCAGGCTGGAATAGCTGCAGCTATTTTACTTGTTCTGTTCTGTCACATCATGCAATATTTAAAGCCTATAATTAAGTTTTTACTTGAACTGTTGGGAGGCAAATACTGCCCCCAAGGGCGTAAAGGTTCCTGTCTGGAAAGGCTTCATCACAAACTGGCATATTTTGCAAACCAAAGGGTGGCTAAAAGAAGCTTCAAACTCTGTGAAGCCAAATAAAAGAGAAAGACAGTAGTTCCTTGAATAAAATGTGTTACCACTGTTAATCACATGCTATAACAGTGGCATTATGACTAGAGTTCTACAATAAACATAATGCTTACGTGATGTGGTAGTAATGGGATTAATATTAATTCAATTTTTACCAAATGTCTTGAATACATCCCAAATTCAAATAATGTAGAATTTCAGTTACTGAGTGTTTCCTAGTGAGGAGATACAAAAGACTGCAATCAGATACAAGTTTTTTATTTCTTCTCTAAGAAAGGCACAGTAGGTTACCTTCCTGTCACTCATGGGGATTATGTTTTTAAAGATTTGTATGGGAAAATACATGCGCTTGTTAAGGAGTTATGTTCTCTTATATCATGCGGTGTTTTGAAAATGTACTTTTCTCTTAAAAGCTTTTTATAAGGGGTAAGGTAGAAAACATGACATAAGGCTCAGATGATACACTTTACACCATTACTGAATTTTAGTCACAAATGATATTTTTACTCAGATATTTATAGATACCTCTCGCTGGACTGAAATGAAAGAAATTTGAGTTTCAATGTAGTTAGTTGCTAAACAAACAAAACCCAGCAATGCGAATATATAACCATGAAGCTTTCTGAAGGGAAGTATTTGAATTTCTTTTGTTTCTCTTAACAGCATTTATTCTGAGCAGCTTTGGTTTGTCCTTTAGAAAGCTGACTCGTTTTATTCAGTAATGCATTCTATTCCCCCGAGTAGGTTCCATGGGAAGACTTGCATTACCTCTTTGGTGAGATCATATATGGTGGCCACATCACCGATGCCCGGGACCGCAGGCTCTGCTGTATATATCTGCAAGAATTCATCAGCCCACCTGCGGTAAGAACTTTCATAGACGCCTAAAGCTCTTGAGCGTGTATATAGTATGTTCAACCTGAGAGAAAGTCGTCTTTCAGAACTGGAGCCTTGTGGAGAAGACCACAAGCTTCCTCGTCTGTGTGGCCCCACCTGTAGCAAGGTCTTGTCTGGCTGTGGGGGAGTAAATTCTCCAACTTGTAATGAGTACAATGATTCATCATGAGCAGATTTTGTCTGCAAGGGTTTGTGACTTGGCATATTGCTTGTTTAAATACTTTTGCAAGCACGCTTACTTGGCAACTTGAATTCAGTGTTTTGTAACACTGCTTGTATAGCCAGCTTAATGACATTAGGGGATAGTACATTTAGGTTTCCATTTTCCTAATAAAACTATTCTTTTTTTAAGGTGCTGCTGTTTAGAAAGGTCTGGCTGGGCATAGGAAAGTATCTTTTATGGAACTGCACTTTAACCAATGTAACTGATAGACTCACCAGTTACAGCAGTCCAGAATGGCACTATCCTCAAAACTTAACATTTACTGTTTGTATGTTTTCTTCTCTGGAAAAAGAACAGAATGGAAATGTTATACATTTCCTTGCGTTTTCCTGTTTCCAAAGTAGGGAAAACAGTTTGCAAGACTGTTTCTCATTTTCCACCACCCTCTCACACATCTGTTTCTGTAGCTTTGTCAGATTATCACCAGCTGATATATACTGAATTATTCAAATTTCACTATTGAGTTTTGGTCCTGGACAGCAGTGTATGTGGAGCATCCATGAGTCCAAGGTGCAAGATTGCCAAAGTTGCTTCTAATCAGAAACAAATGTTAGAATTTTTGAGGATACAAAAAGCAAATGTTGCTTTAACTTGCATGGAAACTACTTTTATCTATTGTCATATACATACATTTATATAAAATGTGTATGTGTATATGGGGTGTGTGTGTATATATATACACATAATATATATACACACACATATAGATACATATATATATATATAA